CATCCCGGAACGACCCATTTTACACGGGATTAGAACAACTTTTTAGGTGATTGAATTTTTACTGCCATTTTAGGGGACAGTTAGAAATGTCTTTCATCTTTGCTGTGAGCTCTGCTTCTCCTGGTGGGTGAGGTAGCTCCAGTGTGAGTGTGTGTGTGTGTGCACGCACGTGCGCGCTACCTGTATAGACCGACATAAGCACACGTGTACGCATATTTGTCCGTTTGTCTAGGTGAGCTCTACATGGACACCGCCATACGCTTTGTATTCCGCATTCGGTTTAGTGTTTTATTAATGTCAGTGTGGTAGAGTCGCTTGATGGTGCAGCTTAAATCTTTTGTGTCCTTGCTGTTTTCCCCCTATATGGTCTATGAATTACTGGGACATTGGGGTTAAACCTATCACCATGTATGGGTCTATTTTCTTTTTGGTTTGGCTTCATCTCTTTTAAATGTATATACATTTAGGACTCTCTGTCTCACTGGTGAATGAATTTTCACATTATCCTGAAGTCTACTTTGTTTGATGTGATTCAAGCCGTACCAGCTTTCTGATACTTAACATCTGCATCGTCATATCCCTTTTATAGCTTGTTTATCCATCTCTAAAGACTACCTGTGCGAACAGCATATAGTTGTATCTTCCCAATCCAGAATTTGTATTTAATTGTGATTATTGATATGGTCGGTTTTAAGTTTGCCGCTTGATTTTCTATTTCATTTCTTTTTAGTTCCATTACTCAACTTTTTCTGCCTTCTTATTGGATTAATCAAGTATTTAAAAAATATTCCCTTTTATTTTCTTATTTAAAAGCTATGCCTCTTTGAATTTTTTTAAATCACTGCTCTAAGGATTATAATATTTATCCCCTGAATGTATCAGAAGTATTTATGTGTGTGTGTGTGTGTGTGTGTGTGTATATATATATATTTTTTTTTTTTTAAAGATTTCATTCAGGGGTGCCTGGATGGCTCACTGGGTTGAAGCCTCTGCCTTCGGCTCAGGTCATGATCCCAGGGTCCTGGGATTGAGCCCTGCAATGAGATCTAAAGATTTTATTCATTTATTTGACAGAGATCACAAGCAGGCAGAGAGGCAGGCAGAGCGAGAGGGGGAAGCAGGCTCCCAGCTGAGCAGAGAGCCCGATGATGATGATGATGATGATGATGATGATGATGATGATGATGCGGCAGGGGCTTGATCCCAGGACCCTGGGATCATGACCTGAGCTAAAGGCAGAGGCTTTAACCTCCTGAGCCACCCAGGTGCCCCCAGAAGTATATATTTTGAAGGATTTATTTTTAGTGGATATGGATTTTGGGGCTGACAGTTTTTTTTTTCTTTCAGCAGTTTAAAGATGGTGTTTTAGTGTCAGTGATTTTCTGACACCCATTGTTCCTGGTTAGAAAGTCAACTGTAGGGGTGCCTGGGTGGCTCACTGGGTGAAGGCAGAGGCCTTCGGCTCAGGTCAAGATCCCAGGGTTCTGGGATCCAGCCCCGCATCTGGCTCTCTGCTCAGCAGGGAGCCTGCTTTCCTTCCTCTTTCTCTCTGCCTGCCTCTCTGCCTACTTGTGATCTCTGTCAAATAAATGGATAAAATCTTAAAAAAAAAAAAAGTCAGCTGTAATTCTTATCATTGCTTTCTTGTATGTAACGTCCTTTTTTCCTGTAGCTGCTATAAACTATCTCTGGCTTTGGATTTCAATGGTTTGTTATATGAATAATATATCATATGCTTTTCTTCGAATTCACCTAACTTGGGCTTTCCTGAGCTTCTCAGATCTGTAGGTTGATGTTTGTACCAAATTTGGGAAATTTTTGCCATTATTTTTACAATTTTCCTTTTTTTTTCTTTTCTTTGCTCCATTTTCTTGCTCTTTTTATTCTGGAAGCCCAATTTCACATACATTAGAAGATTTGCTATTATTTCACATGTTATTAAGGTTTTGTTAAAATTAAAATTAAAAAATTAAAATTATTTTTCTTTGTTCAGTTTGCATAATTTCTGTTGATCTGCCTTTGGGCATTGATACTTTTTTCTGCTGCATCCTCTTTACTATTAAGCCCATTCATAGAATTTAGGTTGTTTTGTTTAATTTTACATTTTTGTATGTGTGATCTAAGTCATTTTCTTTTTTAGCTTTATTGACGTGTAATTGAAAAATTTTAAGATATTTGAAGTGTACAACATTGTAATTTGATACACATATACATAGTGAAAGGATTCTCCCCATTAAATTGATTAACATGTCCATCACCTCACATATTTACTCCTTTTTTTCTTTTGGTAGAAAGATTAAGTTCTACTCTCTTGGCAAATTTCAATTATATAATACGGTATTATCATTTATGGTCACCATGTTAAACATTAGATCCTCAGACATTTTTCATCTTAAAATAGCAAGTTTGTACCCTTTTTTACCAACCTCTCCCTCTTTCTCCCACCCCTCAGGCCCTGGTAACCACTACTCTTACTGTCTCTTTCTGGTAGTTCAGCTTCCTTCTTTCCCTCCCTCCCTTCCTTGCCATCTACTTCTCCCCTTCCTTCCCTCCATCCCTTCTCCCTTTCTTCCTACTCTCCTCCCTCCCTGCCTGCCTACATTCTTTCCTTCCTTCCTCTCTCTTTTTTGATAATACCTATCTTAACAGTAGCTCATGGTCATTTTGATTTGCATTTCCTTGATGATTAGTGATACTGATGATCTTTTCATGTTGTCTTATTGGATATGTGGTTTACACATATATTCTCCCATTCCATAGGTTGTCTTTTCATCTTGTTGAAGGTTTCCTTTGCTAAGCAGAACCTGTTGTTTGTCTTTTACTTATTTTTGTTTATGTTGCCTTTGCTGTCAAATCCAAAAAAGTTATTTCTAAGAACAATATCAGAGTTTATTCTAATGTTTCCTTTTAGGAGTCGTTCAGGTTACGCTCAAGTGTTTAATCTATTTTGAGTTGTTTTTTTGTAGAGTGTATGGTAGAGGTCCATTCTTTTGCATGTGGTAATCCAGTTTTCCCAAATCCATTAATTGAAGACTGTCCTTTTCCCATTTTTTTTTTTTTGGTAACTTTGTTAAAAATTAGTTTACCATGTACACATGAGGTTATTTCTGAGCTCTCTCTTCTGTTCCATTAATCTATGCATCTGTTTTTTTATGGCAATACCATACAAGTTTCTGTTTTGGCTTAATTTAAGTTTATTTTGTCTGACATAAGCATAGTTACTCCTGTTCTTTTTTAGCTTCCATTTACACGGAATATCTTTTTCCACCTCTTTGATTTCAGTTTCTGTGTGTCCCAGAGCGGAATTTAGTCTCTTTGGGCAGCAAGTAATTGGGACTTGCTTTCTATCCATTCAGCTCTAGGCCGTTTGCGTTACAGTAGTCATTGATCGGAGTGGAAATACTTTGTTAAATGTTGTCTTGTTGTTTTGTAGTTACTTTGCCCCTCAGTCCACTCTCATTCTTCCCCTTTGTGATGGTTTTCTGTAGTAACGCTTTGATTCTTGCTCTTTACCTTTGGTGTATCTACTGCAAGTGTTTGCTTTCTGATTGTAATGAGACCTTGTACTTGTAACAGTCTGTTGTAGTTGTAACCTTCATGCCAGAGTTATGAGTGATCTACCTACCACCATTACTTTCGGGTGTTCTGATATTAACTTTGTATTTATTTTTGCCAGTGAGTTTTATACTTTCGTATACTTTTTGCTACTAATTTAGCATCCTTTTCTTTCATTACAACATTTCTCATAAGGCCAATTGAGTGGTGATAAATACCTTTGGCTTTTGTTCATCTGAAAAGCTCTTATTTCTTAATTCTGCTGGACATCTTTGCGAGGTAGTGTATTTTTGCAGGCTATATGGAAGCCAGACCCTCTGGCACAGCTGGGAAGGTATGTGGTTAAGCCCCTTCCAACAAGAAACTGGGAGATGGGTGTTTTTTTCCTGTTCTGTCTGCACTGGGTCCAGATGTATATCTGCAGATGGGTATTCCTGTGCCCGTGAAGATCTCATTTGATTGCTACCATCTTGTGGGACTCATGAATGGAAGTTCCAGTACAACTTTCTGGGATGATGGAGATGCTCTATATCTGCACTGTCCAATGAAGTAGTCACTAGCCACAGTGTGGCTCTTAAGCATTTAAGCACATGAAATGTAGCTAATGTGACTGAGGTACTGAATTTTTAACTTCGTTTAAATAGCTACATGTGGCTAGTGGTCCCTCTGTTGGTCACTCTACTGGACAGTGCAATCACAGAATATATGAGAGAGAGAAACTTGTTTTTTTTTCCCCCACTGATGCAATCTACGTGCCTGTAGATACACTGTAGTAGATACTCTGTAAATGTAAATATCTGCTGAATCAGTAAAGAAACAGAGATCCAGGCAACCCTCTTCACCCCTGAATCCTTGCCTCTTTCAATCTATAATTCCAGAATGAACACTTTTTGGTCATCTCGGGCCATTCCCAGACTTCTAGGTATTCAGCAATGGGTTATCTTCACAGGCTTCAGCATTGTACATCAAAGATCGTAGATTTCGTAAATTATATAAATTAAACTGGAACATGCTTGGCAATGTGAGTAATAGATAAAGGAAAGTATAGGGGCACCTGGGTGGCTCAGTCAGTTAAGCATATGCCTTCGGCTCAGGTCATGATCCCAGGGTTCTGGGATCGAGCCCCACTGGGAGCCTGCCTCTCCCGCTCCTCCCCCATCATGCTCTCTCTCTCTCACTTGCTATCTCTGTCTCTCTCTCTCTCAAATAAATAAAATCTTAAAAAAAAAAAAAGGAAAATGCAAGATATAGGAAATGGTCCTCTCTATCATCGAGTTTCTGTTTGGGAAAAGTATTTTTTTTTTAAGATTTTATTTATTTATTTGACAGACAGAGATCACAAGTAGGCAGAGAGAGAGGTGGAGGCAGGCTCCCTGTGGAGCAGAGAGCCCGATGAGGGGCTCGATCCCAGGACCCCGGGATCATGACCCGAGCTGAAGGCAGAGGCTTAACCCACTGAGCCACCCAGGCACCCCTGTTTGGGAAAAATATTAAGTGAATGCATATTTTCCTTTCTGTTTTGGCCAGGCATCCAATTAATGAGGCATGCTTTCCCCTAGCCCCAAATCTGTCCTGTTGCTCTCTTTATTCTCCCAAATAAGAACTCTTTCAACTTTTGAAAATTCCCTGAAGATAGTATCCATCATGACGTTTGAGGAACCATAAAATAAGCTACTCCCACTAGCTTTGACTTCCGACAAAATCATCATGGCTGTTATGAGAAAATTTTTATGACTGCAAATCCTTATGGCCACCTTCCACAAGAGTAATTATGCAAATCCTTATGGCCACCTTCCACAAGAGTAATTATAATTTGGAGAGGGGCTTGGCATCCTAACTTTTAGATGCTCTTAGAAGTTAAAAACAAGGGTAGAGGGTACCTGGGTGGCTCAGTGGGTTGAGCCCCTGCTTTCGGCTTGGGTCATGATCTCAGGGTCCTGGTATCAAGGCCCGTGTCGGGCTCTCTGCTCAGTGGGGAGCCTGCTTTCTCTCTCTCTCTCTGCCTACCTCTCTGCCTACTTGTGACCTCTCTCTCTCTCAAATAAATAAATAAAATAAAAACAAGGGTAGAATTTAAAAGAAAGGATGAATAACAGAGTATTGGATCATAAGTTGTCAGACTGCAATCCAGGGAACTCCTTCAGGAATCATTACAAAGACCTTGACTCCATTCATATTATCTGTCCCAATCTTTCTTCAACCGTGTTTTATTTTTTTGTGCCACTGTAAAAAAATATTTTTTCAAAGAACTGCTCGTTGAAAAGTTTGCAAATCACTGCAAAAACCTTCCTCATTTATTGATTGCCTCAATAAGTTTTGAAAGATGACAAATGGCAGTGAATTCAGTGTTGGATTTTCTGGCAGAGTTCCATCAGTGCTGCTGATTCAAGGGCGATCTGTTTTGTTTGGCTACTAGGAGTGCAGGGAATGAAAAATTGATGAGCGGAACATGTATCCTTATAGGGTCCTATAGGCAGGGCCTCAAAAATAATTTTGGTTTATTTAAACAAAGCTTATTTTTGTAATCAGCAGGAAAACAGAGATCCACAGCAAGCTTTTCGATTATGGCTTAAAAAAAAGCATGAAGAACAGTTGAAAGAAAGAAAGACAGAAGAACTACGAAAGCAAGAGGAATGCTTATTCTTCCTTCAAGGAACAGAGGGCCGTGAGCGGGCCTTCAAACAGTAAGTCACAGGCCGGGCAAATTTCCCCTCTCTTCACAGTCCTTGCAGAGACCTTGGTAGTCAATAAAGGTTGAAAATAAATCCCACAAAAAATTTATCTCTGATATTACATATCTGATCAATTTTAAATCCACACTTTCAAAACTATGTGAGAAAATTCTTTTGCTCCATAATTTGCATAATATCTATATGCCATTCTTTCTTCAAGATATTTTCAATAACAACATCATTTTATATTTTACCAGTGTGATAACCTTTGATAGCCTACCATTTATTTGTTAGTTATTTTGTTCATTTTTTAGAGAAATGGGCCAAAGATAGCGTACAGCTACTCCTACATACTCCTCAGGAAAACTGAATAGGGAGTCTCATTTCCCAAGAAATATTTGTCTATAAAGAAAGTTAGGCTGAGAAGGAAGATCTGTATTGACCAAACTGAAAGAGAGATTTGGGCAGACACTGGTAATTTAAGGCAAAGCTGATCTTTTCAGTTACTTGCTTGAGACTTTCCATTACCTGGCTAATTGTGAGGAAACAGACCTGGCTTCGTAATTTTTCCAGCAATCCTTGGGAGAGATAGAGAATATTGAACCCAGTTGCTTTAAGTTCCTTTCTTTCTTTCCTATTTTTTTCTTTCTTTACTTCTTTCTTCCTTAAAAAAAAAAATAAATATTATAAGAGAAGCAATGAGTGTGCATTGTGGAAATGGCTGGGGATAAAGTCACATTTTCATCACCTAGCAATCACTGTCAGTACCTTAGTCCGTATCTTTTACATAGTTCTCTCTACATTGTAGTTTTGAAATGTAAATTGCGATATTATATACTATTCTGTAATCTGCTTATTTTTATTAATAATCTCATCTAATATCTCATCTAGTACCATAATGATACTTTCAACAGACCTCTCAGTGACAAGGGTCAGTCTACTCAAATCATGTCCAGTTCAGGGCCACAACATCGGCTTATGATGCTTAAGTCTCTTCTCTTCTGACATGCTTAGTTGTTTTGGGTCATTTCTGAAAACAATGGATACAGACACGGATGCACTGCACACGCTTTCTTATGTGTGTGTACAGTTACTTGAGTTATTTTACCTAAGCAAGGTTTATAAATTTAAATTTGTTTGAATGTGGATTCTTCCTTCACTTTTTTGGATTTTTTTATGCTTAGGCTTATATTTCCATTTTAAGGAAGAACTGTTTTATGCACTAAAAAGCATTGTTGGTAGTGTCCCTACCAACAAGAGGAAGGCAACATTTCTGCATGCTGGGATTCTTAACCTAATTGAGTCATGTTTTGGAATACAGTTAGTTGCAAAAAATATGTTAGTTGTAATCTATCAAATACTTGTTTGCTTAGAAAATCATATTTTAAAAAAGAATAGGCCTATAGCACATGTAATATATTGTGTCCATTATTCAAAATTCAGGTTTTTTTAGTTGGCAGTCTCATTTTTAAGACAAACTTAGTTTTAAGTATTTGATTGCAAATGTGAGTATGTTTTCTTATGTGAGCCCACGGGATAAACCTGAAATTTTCATTAGTACTTTAATAATTTTTTTGTGACTGCAGCATTTCAATGTAAAGAAATTCAACTTCTTTAATAGTCTACAGCAGTAGCTTTATGTAAAGAGTATTCACGTTGATACTCACCAGATCTGATCATATCTCTTTCTACAGATGGCTGCGAAGGAAACGGATTGAAAAACTAGCAGAGCAACAAGCTGTCAGAGAAAGAACTAGACAGCTCCGACTGGAAGCAAAGCATTCTAAACAACTACAGAGCCACCTGTATATGTCAGAAGCCAAAGCATTTCGTTTTACTGATCATTATAACTGAGAGTATCTATTAAACACTTCATTTGGAAGCTGCTATTCTCAAAATTTTATATATCATTTCTTATGGCCTATGCTTTGGTCATACTCTAAATTATGGAAATCCTTTTTATCTTTTGGCGATACTGACAGTGAATTTCTTTTTTTTTTTTAACACTAAACAAAATAAATTTTTTCTCTCGCAGTGTTGTATTATGTTATACCATCTTGTAGTCCATGCAACAAATTGAACAATAAATGAGCTCTAGATTCCTTTACTTCTAAATTATTTTAGCATTTCTAGCTTGAAAGAACCCAAGAAAGGAACAGATTTCTAGTCTTAGTTTCTATTATTGTTTAAAAAAAGATCAGATTTCTGTTCTTAGTTTCTATTATTAAAAAAGAGATTGCAGTAGAACATTTCATGGAGCTGAGGCATGACCTCTTAAACAAGCCTGGTTCAAGGCCTTATACAAAATCCCATTTATGACAACTTTGAATTTGAATAACTGTGGCAAACTAAGAAATAGGGTAACCTTACTTTCTCATGGTCTTTAAAAAAAATAGTAATAATTATGCATCCAATTTTGCTCTATTATAAAACTAACTAGCTCTTATTAGAGTTTATAATGTGTATGGTAATGTTATAAGCACTTTACATAAATAATCTGACATAATCCTCATAACAACCCTATTGGTCTTGTGTTGCAGATGAAGAAACTAAAGTACAGAGGGAGCAGTTTACTCGAAGACTCTTGATCTGTATAATTGCAAAATTCTTTCTTTTAGGCATAGTATAAACTTTATAAACCTTGGTAGATATTGTGAAGTCTTTAAGACTGTATGGGAGGCTGATGTGTGGAGGAATGGTATTCTTGATACGTATGAGCATTGAAAGGGTGGAAAACAAAGGCGAACATGACAAGTATGACAGAGACTAGAGAATCATGTAGGAGTTCTGTTAAAGCCTTAAGGACAAGGTTCTTGCCAGCTGGCTGTTTGTACCTTTAACCACTTGACCCTGAAGAAGAAAACAGAGCTACTCAATCCAGTCTCGACTTCTTATAGCACTTTGAGCACACACCAGACCATTTAACTTTTCATTATTTAACTAGTCTTGTGTTGTTTAAGGTTGTCTTTAATAATGAGAACCAATTTGACATTTAAATATTCCACAATTTTTCCAAAAAAGCTGTTGGAGTTTTGATAGAGATTGCAGTGAATCTATAGTTTGTTTTGGGTAGCACTGCTGTTTTAATCAATTGTCTTCCAATCCATAACACAGGATTTCTTTTCATTTAGTGCAACAAAATTTTGCAGTTTCACTGGACAGGTCTTTCACCTCTTTGGTTAGACTGATTCACAGATATTTTCTTCTTTTGGATTCTAGTGCAAATGGAATTATCTTCTTAATTTGCTTTTGGGTTGTAAATTCAAAATCAAACACAAATGAATTTTATGCATTGATATACTGTGCAACTTCGCTGGCTTTATCAGCAGTAGGTTTTTTTGTTTGTTTGTTTTTGTAGATTCCTTGGAATTTTCTATATATAAGATAATATTACCTGCAAATTGAGATGGTTTTATTTCTTCCTTTCCAAATCAAATTCCTTTTCTTTCTTTCTTGACTGATTACTTTGGCTAAGATTTCCAGTATAATGTAGAATAGTAGTGGTGAAAGTGGGCCTTTCTCTCTTGTTCTTGATCTTGGGAGAAAAAGCCTTTTTAGTCTTTCACTGTTGAGTATGATGTTAGCTGTGGGGTTTTTCATAAACGCCCTTTAAGAAGTTGAGGAAATTCTATTCTTATTCCTCTATTCTACTTTTTCATATTCTTTGATCCCTTATTTTTCTGAGTTTTTTTTTTTTTTTTTAAGGTTTTATTTATTTGACAGACAGCGAGAGGGAACACTGGCGGGAAAGCAGGAGAGGGAGAAGCAGGCTCCCTGCCGAGCAAGGAGCTGGATGCGGGACTTGATTCCAGGACCCTGGGGTCATGACCTGAGCTGAAGACAGATGCTTAATGACTGAGCCGGTCAGGCACCCCTTTCTGAGTGTTTTTATCATAAATGGGTGTTGGATTTTATCAAATGCTCTTCCTGTATCAGGTGAAATGATCACATTGTTTTCCTTTTTTTGTTCTGTGTGTGTGTGCGCGTGTATTCCGGTGATTTTCTTGTGTTGAACTACCCTTGCATTCCTGTCAGAAATACCACGTGGTCATGAAGTATAACCCTTTTTCTATGCTATTGCAGTTTGCTAGTAATTTGTTAGGAATTTTTTCGTCTATATTCTTAAGAATATATGGTATTGGAAAGTTTTTTTTTTTTTTATTACTGATTTAATCTCTTTGTTAGAGGCCTGTTCACATTTTCTGTTTCTTCTTGAGTCAGTTTTGCTAATTTGTGTATTTCTAGGGATTTTTGTCCACTTCATCTAGTATATTTGTTAAAATTATTAAGTACAATTATTCCTTTTTTTCCCTTTTAAGGTTGGTAATAATTTCCTTTCATTTCTGATTTTTGTTATTCACATCTTTTTTTTTCTTAGTCAGTCTGGCTGTAGGATTGTCAATTTTGTGGATCTTTCCAAAGAACCAACTTTTGATTTCCTTGATACTGTTCTGTTCTCTATTTTCTCTCTGCTCTAATTTTGATTTCCTTCCTTCTGCTAGCTTTGGGCTTAGTTTGCTCTTTTATTCCAGGTCCCTATGGTATAATGTCAGGTTGTTGATTTGAGATCTTTTTAGTTTTGTTTAGCTAACTATTTATTATTACTATTATTGACACTCTTAAACCAACCATTGCAGAAGGTGCCATTAGTTTGTGGTTAAGAGTGTATGCAAAATTTTCTGTGTGTGATTATATATTATATATATATATTATATATATAATATATATATATAAAACTTAACATTTTGACCTTTTTTTTCATCTTGACCAATATTTAAGTGTATAATTAAGTGGCATTAAGTACATTCATACTGCACCACCATCACCCCTTTCCAATTGCAGAATTATCCTCATCCCAATGGGAAGTCTATATCCATTAAGAACTCTCTATTCTGGGGACACCGGGGTGGCTCAGTCAGTTAAGCGTCTGCCTTCACCTCAGGTCATGATCCCAGGGTCCTGGAATTGAGTCCCACATCAAGCTCCTTGCTCAGTAGAGACCCTGCCTCTCCCTCTGCCTACTGCTCCCCACTGCTTGTGCTGACAAATAATCTTAAAAAAAAAACGAAAAACCCCCCCAAAACCCCAAACTTTCCATTCAGCCTTCCCTTGACCCCTATAACCACTATTCTTTGTCACTATGGTTATTTCATGTACCTACTTCTTTGCCCTTTTGTTTCCAACTTATTTCATTTAGTGTAATGTATTGAAGGTTCATTTATGCTGTAGCATAATCAGACTTTCAGCCCTTTTTCAGGCTGATACTCCATTGCATGTGGATGCATTTTGTTTATCCATTCATCCAGCAAAGGATGCCTTGTTACTTCCACCTTTTGACTCCTATGTTGCTGTGAACACTGGTATAAAAATATCTTTTTGGGTCCTTGCTTTCAATTCTATCGGGTATCTACGTAGAAGTGGAATTGCTGAATCATATGGTAATCGTATGTTTAATTTTTTTAGATTTTATTTATTTATGACATATGTGAGAGAGAACACAAGCACAGGGGAGCTGGAGAGGGAGAAGCAGGCTCCCCGCCTAGCAGGGAGCCCCATGTGGGACTTGATCCAGGATGCTGGGATCATGACCTGAGCTGAAGGCAGACGCCCAACAACTAAGCCACCGGGGTGCCCTGTATGTTTAATTTTTTGAGGAACTCCAACACTGTCTCTAACAGTGGTTGAACCATTTTACATTCCCACCAGGAATGCACAAGGGTTCCAATTCTATATCCTTATTAACACTCATTTTCCTTCCTTGATCACAGCCATTGTAATGAGCATGAAGTGGTATCAGTTTGCATTTCCTTAAGGATTAGTGATGTGGAGAGTATTTTCATATGCTATTGGCATTTTGTGTATCTTAGAGAAATTTCTTTCCATATTCTTTTCACGTTTTTTAATAAGGTGGTTTGATTTTTGGTTGCCGAGTTACAGATCCTTTATTCTAGATACTAGATCCTTATAAACCATATAATTTGCAAATATTCTCTCCCATTTTGTAGGTTGCCTTTTCATTCTGTGGATAGTTTCCTTTGATGTACAAGTGTTTTTAATTTGGATGAAAATCAGTTTATCTATGTTTTATTTTGTTGGCTGTGCTTCCAGTGCCATATCTAAGAAATCATTGCCAAGTCCAAGGTCATGAAGCTTTTCCTCTATATTTTCTTCTAAGGTTTATACTAAGTAAACCTAAAGGAAGGCTGACAAATCAATTATAAATAGTGTAAGTTAGATAAAGACTTGAAAAGCACATTAAATCAATATTCATAATAAAGAATGTAGAGAAATTTACTGCCATTTCAAAGTATAACAGATGAATCAGACAAAAAAATCATTAAGTTGACATTAAAATGTTATTTCACCAGATTTGTCTTTAGAAGATTTCTCTTTTGATAGGCGATTCTGTACCTAATATAGGGTAATTTAGTATAAACATATTGTGGATATTTTTACAGGCTCATAAAAGGGTGTTTTATGATGGTCCATCATAAACAATATATATTAATATAAATTAATGATGGATTGCATTTTGAGTTTGTACAATGTTCTAGAAAGATCCTCTTTCTACATTATATATCAAATTGGATAGTCCTATTGTGTTACATTTGTCAAAATGAGCTCAGTAAAATCTGTTATTATATGTCAAGTCACATCCATTCAAACTATGGAATTCCCCACACAAAACCAACATGAGAATATGTTTTGCTCAAACACTTGCTAATGTGGCTATAAAATACTTCTAATTTTCCTAACATATAGCATTTAATTTTAAAATATTAGTCCCTTCACCCATAGTATTTCCATAAGCAGCCTTTGTAGTCCAAAATAAATCCCCAAAAAGGGAATGTACATGCTCTCCACCCATCCCCCTGCCAGTGGGGGCCAGAAAAATTCTCCTGTCAAGGGCCAGATAGATTTTAAGTTCTGCAGCCACACAAGCCCTGCTGCCTCTGTTCAGTTCTGCTGTGGTGCCCAAAAAACCCAAGCCTGGCAACCACAGACAACAGTAAACGAATGGGTGTAGCTGCATATGAGCCACCCTGCATTAGAGTTAACAATGAAATCTGCTCATCTTAAACACATGGCAAGATGTAACTTAGGGCCTAAAATAAAGATAGGATCTTCTTTCAGGATCCTTTAGGAAAAGCATCATGGATGTCAGGAAAGTATCATCTACTTTAAATATATCTACACAGTTTCACTCTTTTCTTACCCTGAGGTATTTATTAAGAAAGGGTAATCTGTGGTCCAGTACATGAAACATCGCTGGGGATATACAGTACTGAGATAGAAAGTGACATCACTGTAAGACTCCAGCTCCCAAATAATAATGACTCTTGGGTAAGAAGCGAGTGCTGTCTTGTTGTATTAAAGGACAATAAGTTCTCCCTGGCAGTGATGGCAGCAATTGAAAGTTATATTTTCATATCTAGTATAGGGATGAAATCGTCCAATATTTTTCTTTGTAGCAAGTAAGGCAGTTGGTGAAGACTCAGAAAAAGGATTATCAGGTGAGCTTTCCGTACAGGTAACTGGATCCAAAATGCGTAGAACCTAAGGAAAATAAGAAGTAATGTCAGATATTGACGTAGAACTACCTCTAAAGCCCCATTTCATTTATATGTAACTACCACAAAAAATAACATCGGAGTGATGAATGTGATTGGTTAGGGAACTTATAGCTTTTCCAGAAAGCTCTAAATTTAACAATGATGTCTAATTATCACCTAGGTTACCTATTTTCCAAAAATGATGAAATTAATGTTCTTTATGGATACTGGTGGAAAAAGTATGAAAACAGAAAAAATATGGTTATATCCATTCTACCTTAAGTGATGTCAATTTTTTTTTTTTAAAGATTTTATTTATTTGTCAGATAGAGTGAGCACAGGCAGACAGAGTGGCAGGTAGAGGCAGAGGGAGAAGCAGGCTCCCTGCTGAGCAAGGAGCCCGATGTGGGACTCGATCACAGGATGCTGGGATCATGACCTGAGCTGAAAGCAGCTGCTTAACCAACCGAGCCACCCAGGTGTCCCCAAGTGATGTCAATTTTTAATCCTTAACCAAAAAGCACCCACTATCTCTCCTCTATGACCTTTCATTCAACTGTCTAGAATCAGGATTCTGCATTCTTCTAATGAAATGCTATTTCAAAGTTTTTAATCATTTACTTGTAAAATCAATAGCTTTTCATTTCTCTATTTCTAATGTTTATGCCATCTTTTATGCTAACAATCATGTTCCTGTTTCTTGGATTTCATGGACACCAGGCTCTCCTAATTCTGCTGTGACTTGTTCTGCTGTTTCCTTTACTGAGACCCACAACAGGAGGATTTGGGTTGAAATCCTGGGTTGTGTTGGGAAAAACTCTCCAATTAAGGGCAAAGGTAACATGCTTGCTCAAAGCTCCTGTATCTCATGTTTATACTCTCCCAGCGATCCTCACATGAGGTGGATGGGTTATGGGGCAAATGAGGTAGGCACTGCAGTTGGAAAGGAACTGTGAAAAGCAGTGGTGGAAAGAACTTTCTCTTTTTTTAAAGTAAGCCGATGCCCTATGTCAGGAGCTTCCAGATATGGCTAGATATGGCTGTTTCTCTCACTCTCATGTCGTCCAGCAGTGTTTTTTCCTTCTAAGTTACTACCATGCCCAAAGAGCTATTGTTAATTTAAGAACGTCCTGGCAGCATTCTATTTTAGGACCTCTACTTTTCAAATATATCGCTGTTTTTTTCCACTGAATTTTTGAGATCTATTTTTGTAAAATGTGGTTGGGTGCTAGGAGACAAAGATGATGGGCTTAAAGTTGCTTATAAATTTGGAACGGAAAATAAAAGTATGGAAATAGTCCCTATATGCTATTAGGTTCTATGACTGTAGAGAGAGAAACAAAATACCAAAGGAGTACAGTGGAATGAGACAGATAGGTTTCTAGATTTTAGCTTGGAGGTGATAGGGAAGGTTTAAGCAGGGTGCCTTTCCGGGAAATCATGCTGTACATGCTGGAAGACAGGGGCAAGGGCAGGCATTAAAAGTAGCCAAGGGAAGAACAAAGAAGGAGATTACTGCAGTAAGCTGGCTAAGAAATGATAACCTTGAAGCAATGGGGCTGACAGGCTCTGTCAGTCGTTAACTAAGAGGACAGTTAGACTGGATAAAGGATTAGGAAAAGGGGATTTTAGGCCAAGCCCTGAGGATACCCAGGAGCACAGGGTAAAACAGAAGGGTCAGAGAAGAGAAGAGCCAGGAGGGTGTGCAGCTATGCAAGCCTAGAGAAGGGAGTGTTCAAGAAAGGTGGGGCAGTCAGTGACACCGCAGGCTACCAGCAGCACTGAGGAGGCAAGGACACGGTTTCCCAACAAGAACAGAGTGTGGAGACAATGAGCGTAGTTCTGGGTCCCGATTCATTATGTACACAGCAGAGCACCTACTATCTGTAAAGAATTACTGTGCCAGACCTTGAGGAAACACAAGATACAGTCCTCACCCTTAAGGGGCTTACAGTCGGGGGAGAGCGGGAGAATCCAGTAATTACTGTGACACGGTGAAGAGCTACAACAGAGTGGAAGCCTGGGGCAGGACCATCTAAGCTTGCCAGTGAGATGCGGGCAGGGCTGCTGCTTAAAGGCAGGGTGGTGCTGGGAGGGCGGTCGGGCAGAAGTAGGAACAGAGGCTTGAGATACAATGGCACGTGTGTGCAGTGAAAGTGGTTGATGCTGCTGGGGTTTGAAGAGTAGGGCGTGGGGACAGCTGGCTCGTCCCCTTGACAAGAGGGGATGCCATAACGATTTTTGAAAAGCTTTCTATACAGCGTGAAAGAACGGAGAGTCCAGAATGAGGGCGGACGGGATCTGTCTGAACAGGAGTACCAACACAAGGGGATTTTTTCCTTTCTTTTTTTGGACTGGCATTTTAAAAATAACTGGCAGTAGAGGATGGTCTGGAGGCAGGTAAAAAGCAAGGGGTCCGTACTGGTGAGGAGGCTAGGCAATAATTAAGGCTGGAGGGCAGGTGTGTGAACTTGGAAGAGAGGCTAAATTAGAAGGATCCAACAGGATTTGTAAAACCAACAAGATTATGAGGATGAAGAAAATGAAAATGGTATCTACCATTTACTGAGAAATTACTAATATACTGGAATCTGCTATGAGCTTTACACATGTTATTTTACACGTTATTATGAAGTCCTCAAAACATCTATACAGTGGTCTAGTTTACCACGATAGGGAGTAGAGGAGGAGAAGTGGGTTCTTGTTCTTCTTTCTCAGGGGAGGGGAAATAACAGATATAAAAGCGAGGAGAGAAGAGGTTGTCCTATTTTCAGCTATCTGAGATGTGTCTATGGAGATGTCTTGCTGGGTGTGTCTCTTAAACCCAGAAAAAAAATGTCTCTGTTGAAGAAGTCCCAAGCATAAAACTATGGGACTAGGACAGTCCCTAGAGAATCCAGGAAGTCTGTTATGAGAGGAAAGGCTCAAGAGTGGGGCCCAAAGGAGGATGCCTTGCCCCCTGCCAAATTCTGAAAAAGAATGGTCAGAGAAGGGGAGGAGCTGGCTGTGTATCGTGCTGCAGAAACTCAGCGAGTCTGGAAAGCATGGCGAGCAAATTTCTATGGAACATCAACACATAGGAGGAAAAAAGTTGATGAAGAAGAAATCTGAGGGGGCATATGAGAGAACCAAGAAGGTAGAAGGTCACAGAAGTCAAGGGGATATCAAGGCAGGAGTGCTGGTACAGAGATTATGGTAACAAAGTATTTAAACATTCATGAGCTTTATTCGCACACAATTCGAGGACAGTGGAGCTGGAAGCTACTGGGTAAGTGACGGCAGGACTTGCAGAACGGCTGGCATGGGAGTACACACAAGTGTGCACAGTTTGTCCAAGGTTCTCTCCTATAAAGGTGATAAGACCTTATCAGAGAACTTATGATAATGGAAGATTTTTCTTTTTTAGGTGAAGACACTTGGGTGTGTTATAAACCAAAGACGAAAGAGCCGACAGACAGAGGGATGATCTGGAGAGGCCTGCTGAGCCTGGAGGGGAGCTGTGCTTTGGAGAGGGACATCTCTTCCAGGGACAGAAATGTATTTAAGACTGGCTGCCATAAAGGTAGGCTTCTAGTTATCAAGTGGGACCTTTAAGAAATTTCCTGCCTCTGCCTTCTTTTTCTGTGAACTAGGAACCAAAGTCATCCGCTGAATATGAGGTCACTGCTTGACAAGTGCAGAAACAAAAAAGGCAGGCAGCTGAACTAAGGACTGGAGTTCTCAGGGTACCCGAGAGAAGGATGATAAGGGAAAAAAGACACCCAAGAATGAAATCCAGGCAAGCTATGGCAGGAAAAGAAGCCAGGAGAGTGAGCGGATGAGATGAAGAAAAAAATGCAGGGATCAAGGGAATGAAAATTATGTGATCACAGGGGTAATCAGAATAAAGAATCGGCTGGAAAAAAGGTTGAGAGTACAGATCACGGAGAGAGGTGCTGAGCTGATTTTAAAAGTGGAACAGTTCTGGTTAAAGACAAGGCCTAAGATAGGAGATAGGAGTCAGATCCCAAAATGTATGGAAGTGACCTTGGCTCTGCTGGTAGAACTGGGAAACCACAGTATTTGACAGCTCATAGGCATGAACCCTGAATTCACCCAGGACTGTAGGTATCAGGGATGCACTATTTGATGCTGCAGTTTTTGGCACATTCATATCTATATATGGGTATTAACAAATAATTTCTGATGTCAGAAGTAATCTATTATCTACTCATGATTGCTGAATTAAAAATTCTACCCTAGGAGCGCCTGGGTGGCTCAGTGGGTTGAAGCATCTGCCTTCGGCTCGGGTCATGATCCCGGGGTCCTGGGATCGAGCCCTGCATCTGGCTCTCTGTTCTGCAGGGAGCCTGCTTCCTCCTCTCTCTCTGCCTGCCTCTCTGCCTGCTTGTGACCTCTGTCAAATAAATAAATAAAATCTTAAAAAAAAAAAAAAATTCTACTCTAGTTTTCATATCACAATGAACTCAAGTATAAGATTCTCAATGATTCAGTAGCTAAAAGACAAGCCCTTTCAAAACAACTATATTTGCTCCTTAAGGACAGAGTAAAAATGTTTCAGGAACTGAAGCACAGAGGAAGAAATAATTTTCTTCAAAATCATAAGGTCATTAGCATGAGAATCAGGTTTAGATCCAATCGGGTTTAGATCCCATAATTCCTAACTCCTAATGCCCAGCACTTGGCAATTTAACTACGACTTTTCAGTAAGAGGACAGTGTTAGAAGTTCCACAGTCCACAAAAGAGAAATATTTTACCGTTTCAGCCATTTTTTCTGCTGGGGTGCTGCAGAATTCAACCGTTGATGGTATCTTTTTTTGACTGTTAGTGCCAACATTTCCCAGAAGATGAGCATTTACTGCTTTTGCCAACTTGTGATTTGTTAATGCTAGTTCTGCTGTGGTGTAAGGCTGTGTACTAGGATAGTAAGTTTGCTCTCTTCCCCACTGCAAGGACACCAGGAGCTCCTCCAATAATCTGCACAGAACACACAGGAACACTGAATATTAATAACAGGATAAAACATGAAAATCAAGAATACTCAATAAAGGAGAAACCTGAAATTCTTCTGAAATCACATAGTACTGTCTCCTGTATCTTTTTCTCAGAGGTCACTAAACTGGGAATTCTGGTAAAATAAGACTACAGGAAGCATTTATATATTTATCAGGTAATTATCTGGAAGTCATTCAGCAAACGTACTTCTGAACTGCCCCAGTTTTTTAGTTGTCATATTTTAGTACAGGTAAAATATGTTCGTACACTCACCTAGCAGTGCTAGGACTATTGATTGGACTTCAGTCTGTCACTTGTTTTTTCATGAGTTACATTAATGGATTTCCACTTGATAAACCAACTTACAAATTGTAGGATAAAATGTACTTGGCCATGATACGTAATATATATATTCTTTTTATATATTATTAGGACTTTCGCATCTATGTTCATTGGAAATGCTGGTCTGTAGCTTTCTTCTACTATCTCTGTCTGGTTGTGGTTATCAAGATAATGCTGCCACATAAAGTCAGTTGGAAATTATTCCCTTCTCCTGTTTTCTAGAAGAGTTTGTGTAAATTTGGCTTTATTTCTTCCATAGTTGTTTGCTTCAGTAAATCCATTTATGCCTGTAGTTTTCTTTACTGGAAGGTTTTTAACTAAAAATTCAATCACTTGAATTGATTAGGGCTATTCAGGCTATAGACCTTGAGTACCCTGTGGTAGTTTAGTGTCTTCTAAGGACTCTGTACAGAGTTGTTCATAATATCCCCTTATCTTTTTATGTCTATAGAATCTAGGTAATATACCCCCTTCCTCACTCCTGATACTGGTAATGTGGTTTTTTATTTTTTTTTCCCTGATCATACTGCTTAGAGGTTTCTTAAATTTATCTCTTCAAAGAACTAGCATTTGGCTTTCTATTTATTTCTGCTCCCATTATTTTCTTTTGTCTGCTTAATTTGCTTTGCATTTCTTAAAGAGGAAGCTTATATTACCAACAGAAGCTTTCTTCTTTTCTACAATGAGCATTTAAAGCTATAAATTTCCCTCTAAACACTCCTTTAGTTGCCTCCCATGAAATCTGGTATTTTGAAAAACAGTTTACCCTTGACCAACATGGGTTTGAACTATGTGGGTTCACTTAAAGGCCAATTTTTTCGATAGATACAGTATAGTACTGCAGATGGATTTTCTCTTCCTTATGATTTTATTTTTTCTCTTCCTCATGATTTTAGTAACAATTTACTTTCTCTAGCTTACTTTATTCCAAGAATGCAGTATACAATAGGCAGAACATATAAAATATGTGTTAATCAACTGTTTATATTATCGGTAAGACTTGTGGTCAAGAGTAGCTATAAGTAGGTACGTTTTTGGGGGAGTCCAAAGTTATACAAGGATTTTCAGCTGTGTAGGGGGTCAGCCTCCCCAACCCTTGTGTTGTTCAAAGGTTGTCTGTATTATGTTTTCATTATAATTTCCCATGATTTCTTCTACTTACTGATTTGATTTATAATAAATCAATTATAGTCCTTGACTTGTGATGGTTTGATGATTTTTTGACTAGTGATGTGTGAAAGTGATTAACATTTAATAAAAATTGTACTTTGAATTTTCAACTATTTCTTGTTTAGCAATATGAATACCCATTTTTCTCCTGCTGCTAGGGAGTGGAAGCGAGCCATAGCGCCTACTGAGCTACATGGTAACGAGGGCAAACAACCGGTACAAGAGTTTTGTACCCACACAGCCGTTCTGTTGCACACTTTCAGCAATCGGTCAATTACAGAGATGTGCAACGCTCTGACAGACTGGGCTGTGTATTAGATGGTTTTGCCCAAGTTCAGGCTATCATACGGAGCATGCTGAAGGTAGGCTAGGCTAAGCCATGATGTTCAGTGGGTTAGGTGTATTGAATTAATTTTTGACTTAGGACATTTTCAACTTACAATGAGTTTATTGGGTCGCAACCCCATTATAAGTTGCGGAAAATCTATGTACAGAAGTACAAAGCACTTTTAAGGAAGACCATCAGATTTGATAGTTCCAGAGCACATAAAAGTAAACCCTAATACTGCAGAATAGTCCTTAAAAAGATCTCCTTCCAAAGGAAAGATAGGTGTACTTTATGGCTTCTACCAAAAATTATACAAAACTGCTATAACTATAACCAAAAACTACTTTTAAACCCAGAGATTTTTCCTATTATAGCTATAATTAATTCTCTCTCAATTAAGAATGTAAGAAGTACGTAGCCTTATTTTTTTAGTCTTCTTCCCTCCCTGGGCATCTATTTTAAAATGCTATTTGAAAAATATGCTCAATAAAAGTTATTAAATGTAGAAACACTGAAGAACTATAATAATAACAAAAGTTGCAAGAGAAAGAAGAGTTCGGAATGTAAACAAATGCTATACTTCTGGGTAGCTATCATTTCCTGACGAAACTGCTCCCGCTCGCTCAGGAGATCTTGAATAGCACTCTGGGCATCGCGATTTTGACGCTGCAAACCTGCTCTGGAATTGGTTAACTCATCTGCCATCACCCTGGAAAAGATGGAAATATCACATATAAATTCTTTGACGATAACACACTGTAAAGAAGTTACTATATTACCTTAATTTTCAAAAGCTTACGTAGAAGACTGAACACAGTCAAGTTACTTCTCTGTTTTTAAATCTTCACTAAAAGGTATTTAAAATATTTATGAACTTAGAACATACTGAAGGGATTTTAAAAATATCTGCTTACAAAATGACAAAGGTAAAGTTATTTAACTTTCCTATAGAGTGACTTCTAGAATGTACCTCAATCTTACTCTAGATGGATCAAATATTGAAAAAAGTAATATTAATTGTTTTTAAATACAGGAAATTTTAGAGGAAGCAAAAAAGAGTTGCTTTCTTATCACTCAGTTACCTTCTTGTCCTTAGAAAAATATTAAATAATACAGAAAGTCTTATGTAAAAGGGAAAGTAAGTCTTTCCTCCTGTCCCACATCCCCATCCTTCTATCAGTCACAAAATACCAATAAAGTTTCTTATGAGTTTCTCCAGAAAAAAAATTTATGGATACATCAACATAAATGTGTATGTTAAAATAAGTATACCCATTTTATTTACAAAAATGGGATCATTTAATACAAAATTTTCTATGCCTTGTTTTTTCATCTAATCGTGTTTTTTTTATATTAGCACATATAGAGTTATCTCTTTTTTCAAAAAACAAGAGCTTCATGTTTTCTTCTGATTGGATGTTCCAAAATTTATTTTACCAGTTCTCTATTAACAGAACTGATGCAAAGTTTTAAAGTATGCTTATTCAGCTGAAAATCTTAAAAATAAAATTAAAGTCTCAGACCACAGTGATTACTGATCAAAGATTAAATTGGTTAAAATATTGTTAAAGCTGTGTTTAAGTTTTATTGCCCTTAGCATGTTACTATCAGCACTGACAAGGATGTTAAGAAAGTTACATTTGCAATAATGTGTATGACACATGCACGATTTGCCTCTTAATGTGTTCAATGAGCACGAACTTTCATTTTAAGTCAATAAACAGTACATTCCTTTCTCCACATCCATCCTATATAAGCATAATTAGAAAAGAAAGACTTTAAGAGAGCAATGAATTACTGGAAAGTATCACAGACATTAAGATATGAAGAAATACTTTCCTATAAATTTATTCATCACAATCATGATTCTTAAAGTTCAGCCTGGAAACATTTGGTGTTATGTAAGAAATCTCTAGAACTTAAATCCACAGTTACTAAACTATGCGCGAAGCATGTGGCTAGTGCTGGAAATACAAAGAGGGATAATACCCAGACTCTGTTCTCCAGTCAGAGCTGGAAGGAAGGGGATGAACAGACCCCAAATCACAATATATACAGTTTCCCAATGACCAGTGTACCCACGGGCCTAGGGAAGGGCAAGGGGGCTTTCACCTCTGTTTGGGAGAGTAGCCACATCTATTACACCATACAAATAATTTTATTTCCCATTTGTGCATGTACAGAAAAAGGTTGGGAAGCTCTCATGTATAGTTAATACAGTTAAAAGAGCTATGAGAACAGAGCATGGAAGAGAAACAATGTTTGAGTTTTCCAGATAGAAGCGGGGGAAATAGTTTTTTGTGGGAGGTTTTTATTTAATTTATAAGAGGTCTGAGTTTAATTTTCTTAAACATTGTAGTAGTAGTGATTTCTACTATAGAGGAGTAACCTGGAATTCTGGAATGAAGGAGAATCTGATGATATCACTTTTTCATTTAAGGAGACTCTGTGACAGTCCATACACACTTATAAATACATGAAATACTTTGACAATCGGAGTCCCAAATTCTCACACTACCATTTACTTATTTGGGTTATGGTAAAAAAATCTGATAGAGAAAAAGCTAGGAAATGAAAAAAAATTTTTTTTTTAAAGATTTTATTTATTTATTTGACAGACATAGATCACAAGTAGGCAGAGAGGCAGGCAGAGAAGAGGAAGCAGGCTCCCTGCAGAGCAGAGAGTCCGATGCGGGGCTCTATCCCAGGACCCCGGGATCATGACCTGAGCCAAAGGCAGAGGCTTTAACCCACTGAGCCACCCAGGCGCCCCTAGGAAATGAAATATTATTTAAAACATAAAATACCTGCTTGCAAGGAATTTACTCCGCCATACGTCACACTGTATTGACATACGTTCCAGCTGTTCAGAAAGTTGAGCTGTGTTTTGACCTAGGGCTTCATTTTCTAAAATAAGCTGATTTTTCTCACGGGCTAGACGTTCAAAATGGTACTGAAGATCGTCTCCAACGGAAGCCACTAGCAACTTCTTTAACTCTCGATTGACCTAGGAGAAAATATGACCGTTACAACCAGCTTGAAGTAATGTTAGTGACTTTAATGTGGCAAAATGAAAAAAGAGAAACCGTGCTTCATGTAGATGGACCTCCATTACTTAAAGTGTGTATCAAAAAGCAATATTACATATTTAAGTTTCATAATCTATATAAGCCATCTGTCTCTGTCTGCATATTTATATCTTATAGTCCATGGGATTATAAACGGAGCCTCTTCTAGTAAGAGTACCAACCATTATCACCAAAGTTACAACCTGCTTCCAGTCAACACCTGAAGGCAAAAAATTAGAAAACCAAACCAATAAATTTTGCCAAAGAATATGACGGAGAATGTTTTAGTGTTTTTAAATCTATTTCGGTGTTTAAAAATTAATTTCTTTGGGCCACAGGATTTTTTTTTTTTCTAAGAGACAGAGAGAGAAAGAGTATGAGCAGGAGGGGCAGAGGGAGAAGGAAAGTGAGAATCTGAAGCAGCCTCCACAGCCATGGTGGAGCCTGATGTGGGGCTCAATGTCACAGCCCTGAGACCATGACCTGAGCCGAAATCAAGAGTCCAATGCTTAACCGACTGAGCCACCCACACACCCCTGTGCCACAGGTGTTCAAGAATTTAAGCAAAGGAAGCAATTTAGGCTATCTATAAGCATGTTTTTTTACTTTATCTAAAATGTGAAAAATTAAAACGTAAATGTTTAATAATAGGTATTGATATATGGTGCAGCAATAGAAGAACACTGTTGGTATTAAAGGTGGTACTGTAATAGAATATTCTGTGACATAGGAAAATATTAAAAAGAGCAAAAATGAACTCAATGTGTATAATTATGCATTTATAACTAGACGGTACAATGATAGGTGGTACTATTCTCATTTTTTGTATTTTCTAAAATAATCACAAATAAATATACACCATTTTTATATTTAGAAGTTAGTTACTTAAAAAATATTAAAGACCTATTTGGATGAGAACCACTAACTATAGTGTCACTTATAAAGATAACATCTAGGAAAAAGATGAAGGGTCTGAGAGAGAAACGAAGGGTGAGGAGTGAGGCAATGTTCACCAACATGTAAAGCTGAAAGAAACCCAGCCAAGCACTACAGATCCTTTTCCATTTACAATGAAGATACCAATGCTTTCCCAACCGTTCCCTTTATCCCAACTATGATGTCTGCATAAGCAAAAATACTTGGAGCTTATGGATCCTTTAAAGAGGAATTGTTAACTAGACAACTTCAAAGTCTAACTTGGTCTGGAATTTTATAACTATGACTTCCTTTACACCTTAGAGGTGGTCTTGTCCGAAGCACCACGCACACCCATCTTCAATTTTAGAGGACAAGTTCCCAACATATACTAGTTCTACTAGCGGAGCTGAGGGAGAAAGAGAAATTTAAGAGGAAACTTTTTAGAGAAATGACAAGCCAAAACAGGTTATTCCAAGAGGAAATACAGTTTTCTGACGCGTGTGCTCAGAAGGTCCAGGTGTAAAGAGCAGCGATGATTAAAGCTACTTGTTCTTACCTCTGTCTGTACTCTGAGCTGGTTTGAAAGACCCTCTTTGTCCTGCAGTAACCTCCTTTCAGAGTTCTTGAGCTTCTCCAGTAGATTCTTAACCTCCGATAGTTCCTTTCTGGGTTCTACAGTTCCCTCTGACTGACCAAGGAGCTCTCCCCTATGATGTCCCCGAGACTTCACCTTTGCATTCTTGCTGGGGATGTCATGGGTTATAGCAGCTTTGGGAACTAATATTCTTATGGCTTCAACTTCCACTGCTTTTTCAGTGAGAATCTTCCCGAGCTGAAGGACTCCTGGGCTCTCGCCTGGAACTGCTTTCTTCCGTGGATTCTGAAGGATGTGATGCCTTAGGGGCGGGACTCCAGAGGTCACTTCAACAGACTTAGGCGGCTCCTCAGTTTCCATGCCATCTCCTGCTCCTCGGACTGGGGCTGGAGTAAGGGTGACTATGAAAGGGAAAGAAAACACAAGCTACTTGCTAAGAAGAAATGCCAAGGAAAATGCCAAGACATACTTTACCCTACATTCAGAATTACTAGAACTAAAAAGAATACAAAAAATTCATAGTAAAAGTTAATTTTCAAAACAGGTGTCAATAAAAGATGGAAAAAGGCTTGAACTTCCTTAGGTAAATGGTTTTGCTTTTGACTTCTACTTCCTAGTATGATCCTGGGTAAACAACCAAACCTCCGCGGATCTCTACTTCACATTCTGGGAAGCGGGGATAGTACCAGCTGTGCTCCACGACTGTGGCAGGAGAAGATGCAGGAAGATTGAGCACTTGGCACACTGGAGTATGGGTTCCTAAGGGAAGCCTTTCTCTAACCTTTCCAGATTCGGCTGGGTTCCCTGTTCATGTGCACCTGCAGCAGAGATTCTGCATTTCTCCTTTTTTCTATCAAAATCGTAAATTGACTTTTTTCACCCCAGTGTCACTAGTTATGCAATGTCTGTGGCTTCCTCTAGAACCTAAGTCCCATGATGGAAGGGATAAGTAATGTGCCTTGCACCCAGCACTGTTTGGCTGATAGACAGTGAATGAAGGGGAGGGGCACAGGACGAGCATATACATCAATGGTTTTGATGACAGTGTGCGTGGTCGCAGGCTGCAAGCGTGCAGCGTGGTGCCTAATGTTGACCAGACACTGTATGAGGTAGTGGGGATGTCTATGCTCAAGAAATTACTATCTAATTTAGGACATAGGATGTACATGTAAAAAGATGACATGTATTACAGGTAATAGAAAGTAAGAGTGCAATATGTGGTACAAAATTTCTACCAGAATTTTATTTCTACAAAAATGTTAACTAAGAAAAATCATGGACCAATCTTTAGTGAATTCATTACTATTATGTTTTTATATTTACACCTTCTAAGGCAAAGACAGGAAACAAAATTCCTAGTTGAAAAGAAAAAAAAGTCAAAGTAGCCTCAATTATGCTTAGATATCAGTACTATGTTCTGATCAATTAAATATTAATTTTAAATTACTATTAAATATTAATCATGTTTCACTGTAACCCATGAAGTCAGGAGATCAATTTGGTAAGAGCAATAAGGTCTTACTAAAATTAACCTTTCTTAAGTATTTCTGAAGTACAAAGCCATACTAAAAAAAAGAGACCACATAACATATAAACATTCTATCAAGCAAAGACTGTTGTCACCTCGATTCCTGAATTTTTGTCCTAGAAATGGAATGTTCCAGCAATAACCATAGGAAATGGTAAGCTTGCCCAGGATGATTTTTTTTTTTTTTTTATTACCCACAAAGGTCTTTTCTAGCAAGGGAAATACCTAACAAGAAAACCTTCCTTAGTTTTCTATTTTTTAATGAGCTTACTTTTTTTCTTTCTCATAAACTTTGTTATACTGATGCAGAAACTACAGAGCAGAACACATTATTTTCACACACACACACAGGTACCCTCTTGTTCTGAACATTGCATTATTAAAAAATATGAAGAAGAAAAAATTACGTATCTGCTCATTACTCTAAAATAAGTTTTCATTACTCCAAGTTTTTCATTATTTTTATGTTTGTAATCATAATTAACTTTAGAAGCTCAATCTATTTTTCTATTTTGCTGTATTCTTCCTCTTTTTCATCTTATGACATTATTTCTTCACGTTAATTTAACATTATTTACTTATTATTCTGTTGTTGGGGATATTTATGCTTTTTTCCAATTTTTCATATAATAATGCTTTAGTGAATACTTCTGCCTACAGATTTTTCTCAACTTCTAGATTATTTCTTTTGAATAAATTCTCAAGAATGGAATTGATGTGCCAGGTGAAGATCGGTATTGTCAAACTGCCTCATGAAACAACTTATCAATTTATCAGCAGATCTACACCTTACGTTCTTATTTCATTTTATTTTTTGGTAATCTCAACCCCGGTGACCTAATACAATAATCAAGACGTCAGTGCCAGAACGTGTAGTGTTTGGAGTGGTGTGTGGGCCAGGAAGCACTCAGCAGATGTTGGCCTGCGCTGCTGCTGCTGCCGTTCTTTAAAAACCCGAACTAACTCTGCATTTTCATGAAAGGGAGAAAGCTGAAGTTATGTCATCAAATATAATTCTTTCATTTTCTTATGCTCAAGTCTTACGAAAGTGCATCACTGGACTTTAGAACTATTTTTTTCATCTAACAGATTTTTGGGGGGAATTTTTCCTACTTATGTAGCAGTGTACTGGGAATCTCGAGTTAGGTCAGAGAAGAGATGGAAAGACATGGGATGTATACCGTGTTCTATTTAACAAAACATCTTCCATTAGAATAAAGTATTTTGTCATTTCCATACTGAATGTTCACTTGGGACTCAGGACTAACTCCACCTTCAAAAAGATGAACAAAGGAGCGACTTCAGAAAGGGAAACAGAGTCTGGTATTTCAGGTCATGCTGCAGCACGTTAGCACTTCGGAGATTTGCCACCGAACGATTTCAGGAATGAAGGCCTGCTCCCATGTTCTTGAAATCTGCTTTTTAAAAAATTCTAACTCTATCTACAGCAAATTTAATTCCGTCACTAAGACATTCTGTCATTTACAAAGTGATGCTGAATCATGAATTTACAGGTTAATTAAAAAAACAACAAAAGGACAAACTGGAGCCAGACCACTCAGGTCCACTGAAGCCGAAGAAGTAAGAAGCAGGCGTGATGCCCGGCGGTGACTAAATAGGATTTTTAGGCAAATCACAACATTGCTGAGTCGGAATTTTAGGTAGTGGAGATTCAAGAACAAATCAAGTAGACACTGCGAACTTTAAAAGGCAAAGGAACATTGACCGGTATTGGAAAGAAACCTCTTCCCAAAGAAAATACATCATAAAATGCCAATGAAGCGATTCCATCAACTTGGTTCAGCCTCGGTTTACTCCTGACTTTTTACATCAACCACCACTACTTACTCAAGCACTTACGGGCGCGACAGCTGCACAACACAAGCCATGGCAGCTGTCACAACTCAACTCGGGAGTAACTACGCTTCTGGCTAATGCACGCAGGCCAGGAGGGGAGTGGGAGTCCCGGCTTTCCATCTTCTCACCGGGTAACTAACTGGTCATCGTTCTGTTTCCCTTATGACACACGCAGAAACCTTTATTACATACAGACTAAGCACAGCCCGGGACACACTTGGGAGCAGTTGGTCTCCCGGGGGAAGGCGATGATCCATGGTAGCAGCTCCACAATTAAGAGTGGTGTAAGTAGAGCAAAACATCAGCCCCCACGCCCCACCCTTCGAAGGGAACCAACAGAACAATTCTGCGATTACATCAACAGCACTTCTACTTGGGATCAGCTGCCAAAGAACGAAATGGGTCTCAGGTTTATGGCTCATTCTTCTGCCTTCCCTGAAGATTACTGAAATGCAGGGAAAGAACAAATGATACTCTGTAACAGGAGTGGGCAAAGTTTCCCCATAAAGGGTCAGATAAATATTTTAGGCTCTGCCGACCATGAGGCAAAATTGAGGGTAAGAGACAGGTACTTACACAAAGAAGAAAAAAAATCATTTTCAAAGATGAAACTCAAATAAGAAATTGAATAAATCTTTTTTGTTGTTTTTTTGTAATATAGGTCTAATAATGAGAAGCACAGAATTCTTTTTTGTTTGGGATAACGCTTTGCTTAAGTGGGATTCAATGCTTCCCATCACCAAACTGATCTCTAAGTATTCTCAGGAGGCTGAGGGCCATGACTAGCCAACCCTTGCTCTAGAATACTGAGGCAAAAAGAACAGGATTTTGGGGCGCCTGGGTGGCTCAGTGGGTTAAAGCCTCTGCTTTCAGATCAGGTCATGGTCCCAGGGTCCTGAGACAGAGCGTCGCATCGGGCTCTCTGCTCGGCGGGGAACCTGCCTCCTCCTCTCTCTCTGCCTGCTTCTCTACTTGTGATCTCTGTCTGTCAAATAAATAAAGTCTTAAAAAAAAAAAGAATAGGATTTTATAGTCTGTCATTAAAGAAATATTTCTTTTTTTTTTTTTTATAAAACTGCAAATCTAAGAAGACAGATACTCCAAGTCCATTGGAAGGTGCAGTAGAAAGAACACTAGACTGTGTCAAATACCTTAGGTCCTATTTGCCACACATTGTGTGACTTTGGGCAGATCACTTACCCTTACTCTCCTCTCATCCCTCAGTGCTTTCAGAACAATGCAAGTATCAGAGTGTTCTAATATAATCTGTTTTTCTCACAGACTGGACTGTTGGGAGCTCCACCGGACAGGGTCTGCCTCCCAATCTCTATATTATTTGCTTAATGAAATGGTGCTTAGAACAGAAGACCAAGTGCTTTCTGAAGTTTATCAATGTTCATATGCTACTGAGATTTCATTTTAACATCTACTAACTCATTTAAAAACTGCTCACCTTGTTTTCCCTCTACACCAGAGCATTAATTCCTAACTCAGTTATAGTCTGACAAACTTTTCAGAATATACACAGATTCAGCTAGCAAACAGTGAAACAGTTTAGGGATTGTCACTCAGTAATTTTCAATCAATCAATCTATACATATATATGTGTGTGTGTATAAAGATTTTATTTATTTAGTTGAGATAGAACGTGGGGCAGAGGGGAGAGGGAGAAGCACGCTCCCCACTGAGCAAGGAAGCCAATAAGGGGATCAATCCCAGGACCCTGGGATCATGACCTGAGCTTAAGGCAGACGCTTAACCGACCGAGCCACCCGTTGGTGAAAACAATATTCTTTTAAAGGTCAGCATTTAGTAAGATTTAGTTACTACTTAGTAAAGTTTAGTTACTATTAAATTAGAAATCATGTTAAAGACAATGGAATTAAGAGTTATGCCCACGTTCACGGACACGGAATCTAAACATTCCTTCTGTCACAGGCTCCACAAGTAAAGAGTTCCCTGGTCAAGCGAGCGGGGACAGGGCTGAGCACTCCCTCGCTCTGCCGCTTCACAGTGTGCATTAGTGTGCTAAAGGCTCTGGGAGTCCCATGATGTACTCCCTCCTTTAGTCCAGAATTTCCCATATTTATCTGCCCAGGGATTCCTTCTTCACCTAATACCTGTTATTCCACAGAAAAAGTGTTAAAGTTAGGCTATTTTATGCGATTCTAAATATTTAAATGTCTCCGCTTTTTCTACTTAGTTTACTTTCACTAAACGGTCTGACTTATAATACCTGTAATTTTAATCTTGCTCTCAAGAACTTTTAGGATTCAAACCCTCATTTTTGAATTTTTCTCTTTATTACATGTTTCCCATTCAATGAAGTCCTAGCAGCAACTGCGCACCCCTCTCATGGTGACAGTTTTGTTCAAATGTCCACTGAGAAGAAGTTCTGTTGCTATAAACGAATGCTGCTTTTCTTGTGAGGCAGTTATAGGAAGCGCAGGTAAATGACAGATGTCAACCATGGTAAGTACACCTGGTGTTAGGCCATGCAGTCCATGGAGCTTTCGTTCACTAACAACGGCTAATGTTAAACAAAAAGAGGACTAACAGCTGAATTACGTACCTCACTGCAAAATTAAGATCAAATGAAATAATGTATGTGAAAGTGCTTTATAACTCTAATCCTCATTACAAACAGGTAATAACACATAAAAGACAATTACTTTCCCAGAGGCCTTGCAATAACTAACTTTCAATCACTAATGATAATATTGTATTTAGGTTTTGTTTTTTGCCAAGCACCATGCTGGTGACTTTCACCTTAGTAACCATTTAATTGCTTTACTTTTCATTAACTCCCAGTTTATTACTTTCATTACGCTCTTTGGTTTGCTTATTTGAATACTATAAAAGCTTTCTGGTGACTCTGAAATGCTATTCACACAGCTGAATAAATTCAATTAAATATTTATTGGCAGGATCTTCTCTTCTTTGCTTCCTAAACAGATTTAAATATACCCCTTCTTTTAACAAGATTTTATTTATTTGAGAAAGAGAGAGGGAACTCAAACATGGGGAGAAGGGCAGAGGGAGAAACAGACTCCCCACTGAGCAGGGAGCTGATGCAGGGTTTGGGCTCCATCCCAGGACCCTGGGATCGTGACCCTAGCTGAAGGCAGATGCTTAATGTACTGAGCAACTCGGCTGTCCTGATTTAAATCCCTTTTAAAGAGTTTGCTGTTGGAGGTGTATTTGCTGCAAAGCTGGCTTCTGGAAAGTAATTTCCCATTTCACTGACAGCCCCAACCTCCAGAACTCACTCCACCCAAGTCAGGAGCCCTCACTGTGGGACATGCTAATAATACTGTTACCAGCGCCTGTGTGAACATGGTCAGTAAGCTGTAAGGGTCTGAATCACAAGGGAAGAGATCTGGGTTACAGACAGATTTGGAAGTTGTTATTACAGATAATTACTGAAGCCCTGAGAGCAGAAGAGAAAGAGGGCTGAAACATATTAATATTTAAAAGATGAACCAGGAGGAGGATGAAAAAGAAACAGAAGATGTTGCTAGAGCAGTGGTGTCCAGTAGAACTTTCTGCAGTGATGGGAATGTTTTATATCTGCATTTCCTAATGCAATAGCTACCAGCCACATGTGGCTAATGAGCACTTGAGACATGCTGGGTGACTTTGAGGAACTGAATTTTTAATTTTTAAAAATACTCATTTAAACTCAAATAGCCACATGTGGCTACTACACTGGACAGTGAAGGGCTGAAAACAAGAGTGGTATCATGGAAATTAAGGAAAAGTATTTCAAAAGATGGGAATGATCAACATATGAAATGTAGAGAACGAGAAAGTAAGACTAGTTAGCAAGTATCAGGAGTTGAATTGTGTCCCCCCAGTGCAAATACTCATGTTAAAGTCCTCAACCTCCATACCTCAGAATGCGGCTTTAATTGGAAATAAGGTCACTGTAGAAGTAATTAGTTAACATGAGCTCATACTGGAGTAGGGTGGGCCTCTAATCCAGTACGACTGATGTCCTTATAAAAAAGGAAGAATTTGTACAGAGACACAAACACAGGGAGAAGGCCATGTAAACATAAAGGCAGAGATCAGGGCGATGCATGTACAAGCTAAGGAATACCAAAAACTGGGGAGCCTGCGTGGCTCAGCTGGTTAACGTCTGTGTTCTGCTCAGGTCATGATCCCAGGGACCGGGCACTGGGCTCTGTGCTCAGCGGGGATTCCGCTTCTCCCTCTCTCTGCTCATTTTTCTCTGCTCACCACCCCACACCCCATGCTTACATGCTCACTCAAATAAACAAAATCTTAAAAAAAAAAAAAAGGAATACCAAAAACGCCAGCAAACCCCCAGAAACTAGGAGAGGGGCCTGGAATAGATCCTTCCCTAGTGCTTTCAAAGGGAACACGGCCCTGCCAGCATCTTGATATCGGACTTGTAGTCTCCAGAACCGTGAGGCAGTAAGTTTCACTTGTTTAAGTTAGTTTGCGCTGGTTTGTTACTGCGGGCCAAGCAAAACCACCCAACACCATAAAGAAGTCTTTTGTACCTCCTCCTCACTTGTCCATCTACTTAAATCTTTAAAAATATCGTTTACTGAAATCTTAATCTTCTAGTGGATAGAAAATATAGCTGTAAGACTTTGGTTTTACACTAAATGTTAACAGTGCTTAACAGGAGTAATGAGCACTAACCCGGGGGTTACTATTCAGGTCGTCTAGGAGGACGGTGATGTAAACACCATATTACAAAACAGCAGAGGAAACCTGAAACAGATGGTTCCCAGGAGCTCTAGGAGAGTTACTTGGCTCACATCACCTTCATCCTATGGTCCTAAACTGCATGTTTTAAGTACAATTATCATCAAAAGAACAACACTTACCTTTGGCTTCTAAACTTTCAAGAGTAGTCATTTTTTAATCAGTGAAAATGCACCTCAAAACTTCTACAAAAAGCCTAAAAATGAATACAATGAAAGAATTAATACCATATAAAGACATCCACTAAGTGCCTGTAAGTTAGAGGTTACAGTGTTCTGCTGGTTTCCGCACTTAGTGCACACGCGTTTCACATGCAATGTCACAGGTGACACCGCGAAGGCTGACAAAGGCCTCAAAACACTAGGGGCGGCTCGCTTTCCTCACCGGGAACACGAGCAGGCAGGGGTCCCGAATTTCGGCGGAGAAACTGCAGGGACGTCACTGCAGGGCTTCGTGTCCCTGATAAGCAACAGGAACTAAAGTGATCACTTTCTCCGGGGACAGGAGCGACGCTAGTGTCCACCACTGATTTGGTCACCGAATCAGAGAGGAGCTCCCGTTTGCGTTTAGACACACGACACAAACACTCAGGATTCCCAAGAAATACAAGTTTTCAGAAATGTGTGCGCGGTCTCCCAGCGCAGACGAGGCGTCCCCGGGGGCCGTGAGAAGGGAGGTCGCGCCGGGGCAGGGACCCCAACGCGCCGAGCTGTGCGTTGGGCCGCAACTGGTTTCGCAGTGAGAGTAACCGACCTGACTCGGCACAGGGTCTTCGCGGACTACCCGCCTCCTCGTCTGGGGACAGGCCTCCGCGGGCGCCTGGGCAAGAGCAGGGAGCCCTGGCACGGCGCCCTGGGCGCACCGCCTCGTACCCGCCCCGCAACCGCACAGCGGGGTCTGGCCCCAGGCCCGGGAAGGGGAGGGGAGGGGAAGGGAAGGAAGGGGAGCGGAGGGTGCGGAGCGGAGCAGAGAGGACTGAGGGAGAGGAGCGCCCGACGGCGCGGCCCGGCCTGTCAGCTCTGCCGAAGCTCTGGCCGGGTCTCCACAGACACCCCTGCCCTAAATCCACAGCCTCCGAGCACCAAACTGCCGGGCCGCGCGCCTTCCCCACACCCTCCGCCGTCACACTGGCGGCCTCGCGGACCCCTCGCCCCGTTCCTTACTCTTCTGAGCTGAGGGTCGCGAGCTCCGCGCCGGCCTGGCCTCGCCCACTCTCGGTGAGCCCCAGCCGCCCCGCCCCGGCCCTCCGGACTTCCGGCGCTGTTGGCTAACCACATCCTGTTTCCCGGGGTTCGTTTCCGGAATAGTTTTCCGAAAGAGAAGGGTAAATATGCTCTGTGGGGTCTTAAAACTCGGGCAACCCCGCACGCACGGTGGGAGGCGTCGCTGAGTGGAAGATGGGCAGACGCCGACGGAAAATGGAGACTGGAGCTCCGGCGGCTTGGGCGCTTAACTTCCGGGTCACTTGTCAAGCAACCCGAAGTGATGACGCCAGAAAGACCTGCGCAGTGTTCTGCCGCCCCAGGCGACGCCGTGGAGGGGCGGGGCCGGCCCGGTGGGCGGAGCTCCAAGTCATCCCAGCCATTAGGAACGAAGGGGCGGGGCGGTGGCGACGCCGCACGTCCGGTAGTGGGCGGGGCTTTGTTGCCAGAGTAACTGGGCGTCCTTGGGAAGGCGGTGTCCGCCCGGGGCCGAGGTTCCTGCCCGCCTGCGCTGCGTGCGGGAGACGATGGTGAGTTCCAGGCGGGGCGGGAAGGACGGCTTCGGCGCCCTGGTGGCGCCGCGTCCCAGGTCCTGGGGCGGAGGGACGCTCGGAGGCACCCCGGTTTCTTCCACGTGCGCTCTAGCTTCTCCCTTGCAGGGGCTGGTTCCGCAGTCTCCTTCCCTCCCGGTGCCCTGCAGCGCCCTGAATGCCACTTCGGTCCTGCGGGGACCCTGGAGCCAAGGAGCGGGAGGTGTGGGGCGACCCCTGGCTCTGATACCCCGAGGCGAGCATTTTAAGTGTTTGTGTTTCATCGTCGCATTTTTCAAGTTCTCAGCGCCCCTCGCCGCGCCGAATCCGAGACCATGTGCGGTGCGTGCGCTGTGCAGACACCGGCCCGAATCTCCCTGGGTCGTGCGGCGGGTGCCCTTGCGGGGCGGGTGCCCTCGTGCGGCGGGTGCCCTGCTCCACACCCCGCCCCAGGGCCCTGAGGTAGGAGCTGCACTGGCATCAGTTCTCGTCTAGAGCGGATTACCTTATCGGCAGGTGCTTTTGAACAGGAGCGCCCTGACGAGCTCTTGGGAGAGCTTCTGGAACATTCCCTGGCTTCAGCCACACCCCCAGAAATTCTGAATCCGTAGGAATGGGGCTTGGCATTTGCATTTTAAACAAGCCTGTAGGTGATTTGAATTCACGCGCTTGTTTGAGAGCACCGGGTTCTAGTTAACTCACTGAACTGGCAAATCTTTCAGCCGCTTACCAGTAGCGGACGGGGGGAAGGAAAGATGACTGTGGTCGGAGGTCAGAGCAACGGAGCCCCTCCCCGCCCTTCATTCTCCCTTGCTCCACAGCAATCCTTTCCTTACCCCCGTTGCCCCTGCGCGGTTCCTGTAGGGCTCTTTCCACACTTTCCAACCCCTGCCCCTTCCCCTCCTTCGTCCTCCAGACTAAGCGGATGTCGGTCTTCTTCAACCGCAGGCCCCCGGGCTACGCACCCACCCGTATATACAACAACAGACCGGTGGTGAAGGCTAGTCCCGCTTCCCTCTAGACCTCACGGCCTCCTACCCATTGCAGGACTGTTTGCTTCCGCTTATCTTCTTTCTCTCCGGTGCTTTCAGCCTTTCTCTCCTCTTCCTGCTTCCCAGTGTTCTGGTCCCACATCTTAAGAAAATGAAATAAAACAAAGCACGCCCCTCATGCTGTGTTCATGCAGTCGTTGCCCAGTCCTCCATCTATCTGAATTGCCTCAAAGCACGTATTTTCACCGGCTTCCACGGCCCCTTTCCCATCCTCGGTTCTGTTATCCGACTTTCTCTTGAATGGCTTCAGTGAAGTTGCTCTTGTCTAAGTTTCTAATGGCTTTTTCAATTCCCATCCAGTAATTTCTTCTCAAAGTTTACCTACCTTTTCTGGGACAGCTGAAGTTCATGAGCATTCATTACCTCCCCCCTGCCCCGGCCTTGCCTGCTTTTCAAATTCCTTTCTCTGGGGCTCAGTCTTTAATATTTTCAGCAATCAGTGCCTTTGCCTGGGGTGATTTCATCCACACACATGAGTTTTACTAGTGCGGAAGCATTTGAGTCTAAATTTCGATTTTCATCTCACATCTGCTAGGGCTAACCTAGTTGCTTCTGGGACACCTCTCCCTCCTCACCCAAATGCCTCTCCAAATGTGCCATGACCAAAACTGAACTTGCCATCATTCCACCTGGTTTCTCTAATTCCATCAAGTTAATTAATGATATCACTATAGTATAACCTATAGTATAGCTTTAGTATTATATAACTTTAATATTAGTTATTGTGTATTAAATATAGATAATCTAAACCAGAAACCAGAGTTGTTCTCTATTCCTTTTCTGTGCCTCCCATATTCAAAGGGTCATTAAGTCCTGTTTTAGTTTAAGCTTTCTTTGTTTCTTGCCCAGACAGTTGCAGTATTTCTTTTAAAAAAAAATTTTTTTATTAACATATAATGTATTATTAGCCCCAGGGGCACAGGTTTATGAATCGTCAGGCTTACACACTTCACAGCACTCACCATAGCACATACCCTCCCCAATGTCCATCACCCAGCCACCCTCTCCCTCCCCCCTCCCCCCCGCAGCCTTCAGTTTGTTTTGTGAGATTAAGAGTCTCTTATGATTTGTCTCCCTCCCGATCCCATCTTGTTTCATTTTTTCTTTCCCTACAAACCCCGACGTTGCCTCTCTATTTCCTCATACTCGGGAGATCATATGATAATTACCTTTCTCTGATTGACTTATTTTGCTCAGCATAAAACCCTCTAGTTCTATCCATGTCCTTGCAAATGGCAAGATTTCATTTCTTTTGATGGCTGCATAGTATTCCATTGTATATATATACCACATCTTCTTTATCCATTTATCTGTTGATGGACATCTATGTTCTATCCATAGTTTGGCTATCGTGGGCATTGCTGCTATGAACATTGGGGTGTACATGCCCCTTCGGATCACTGCATTTGTACCTTTAGGGTAAATACCCAGTAGTGCGATTGCTGGGTCATAGGGTAGCTCTATTTTCAACTTTTAGAGGAACCTCCATACTGGTTTCCAGGGTGGCTGCACCAGCTTGCATTCCCACTGACCGTGTAGGAGGGTTCCCCTTTCTCCACATCCTCACCAAAATCTGTTGTTTCCTGATTGGTTAATTTTAGCCATTCTGACTGGTGTGAGGTGGGATCTCATTGTGGTTTTGATTTGTATCTCCCTGATGTCGAGTGATGTGGAGCACTTTTTCATGTGTCTGTTGGCCATTTGGATTTCTTCTTTGCAGAAATGTCTGTTCATGTTCTCTGCCCATTTCTTGATTGGATTATTTGTTCTTTGAGTGTTGAGTTTGATGAGTTCTTTATAGATTTTGGATACTAGACCTTTATCTGATATGTCATTTGGTTTTGTTGACTCTTTCCTTTGCTGAATTGCAGTATTTCTTGCCTGGACTTTTAACAGTATGGTATGGCAGTTCTTCAATCCATTATTTTCTCTGCCACAAGAAGGAATTTTTAGAAAAGATTTTACTTATTTATTTGAGAGAGAGTGAGCACAAGTGAGGGGGGAGGGGGAAGGGAGAGAGACAAGCAGATTTCTTCCCCTCTTCACAGGGAGCTTGATGTGGGGCTCAATCCCAGGACTCTGGAATCATGACCCGAGCAGAAAGGCAGACGCTTAACTGACTGAGCCACCCAGGCGCCCCAGAAGGAAATTTTAAAGACCCAAATATTTGAAGTCACTCACCTCTTTTAAATTCTAGACTCTCCATACTCTACAGTGTAAAATTCAAAGTACCTGGGACGGCATACACGGCCCTCCATCATCCTGCACTGCTCAGTGTAGCTTCTTCCACGTCCCTCCATTGCCAAGACATTCCTTTCAACTGCATGTCTTTTGCCGAACATTTTAAGCAACTTCGAACTGGTGGTATGAATGTCCCCTCTCCTTTGCACATGCTGTTCCTTCCACACGAGATACACGTATCTCCTTTTTGGCCGGCCTGATTCCTTCTGATCCTTCCATACCCAGGTTCGGTGTCTCTTCTGTGATGCCTTATGTCTCTACTCAAAGACAGTTGACTTTTCTTTTCTTTTTTTTTGGTCACAATTTTACATGGTACACATCTCACTTGCCACATTCAGTTGGAATTATTTGTTTATGAGTTTGTCACTCTTACTGAACTGAACTGGTAGAGGGACTGATCTTTATTTTGGTCACTGCTATTGCCTACACCATAGTAGGCCCTCAGGTATTTGCTGAAAGAGAAAAGAAAAAAAAAAAAAAGAATGTGGTAAGTGCCCTGAGAGGTTACAGAGTGCTTGGGGGATATAGGAGGATGGAGTCTTCACTTTTCAGAGTCAGGCCATCGTTAAGCAAATGGAATAGAATTTCCATAGTGACAATTCAATGGCCTGAACAGTGGCACAGGGAGATGGAAATTGACATTTGTGGAATACTGGTTTTCTTCCTGCTTGTCTTACATTCTTGTCATTCAGAATTCCCAACCACCCTAAGAGCAGTGAAGTCCTCTCCCTACCCTCTGCCCCGGCTGAAGTTGTGTGTGGTGGTTCTTTCAAATTGGGTGGTTAGTGAAGGCCCCTTTGAAGAACTGACTTCTGTCTTGAGACCTGAATAAAGAAGTGCAGTGACCTGGGGGAAGTGTATCAGGCAACATTAACAATAGGATCAAAGGCCCTGAGGCAGCAAAGTGGTTGGCATATTTCAGGAAGTGATCTTGTGATCTAATGTAAAAAAAAAAAAATAATAGAAATTCGGTGGTGGGGCAGGGTGGGGACAGCAGCAGTGCCGGGGCAAGGGGCGGGAAGTACGGCAGAGAATAACGTGGCATGTAGTTAGGGAGGGAGGCAGAGGCCGGCCCGTGTGCGTGTACGATAGCATGGTTGCTCAGAGTAGGTTCTAACCCATTACTCAGTCATGAAATCAAATTGTTGTGTGTAGCCAGCA